CAGCACTCTGGTTTTTGGCTTTCCCCTGGAATTGCATGGCCCTCAAGCCAACTCCCCATAGATGTGCATTCCTTACTCTGCCTTTAATTTGGTTTCTGAAGGGCAGAGAGCTTCTAACCTCAGTTAATCTGAATATGAGCTGCTGCCTTCTGAGCAACTTGATCCTGCAGGTTTGAGTTTCCTGCAGGGAGGATTTACTGGCAAAACTTCAGCTGATAGGGAGAGATAATCTCAGAATGGTTTTGGTTGGAAGGGATCTTAAATCCCATCTCATTCCAAACCCCAAACCTTGGGCAGGGACAACTTCCACTGTCCCAGGCTGCTCCAAGCCCTGCCCAACCTGGCCTTGGGCACTTCCAGGGATCCAGGGACAGCCACAGCTTCTCTGGGCACCCTGTGCCAGGGCCTGCCCACTCTCCCAGCCAGGAATTCCTTCCCAATATCCCATCTATATTCCCCTCTATCAGTGGGAAGCCATTCTCACTCGTCCTTTCACTCCAGGCCCTTTCTTTGAAATATTTCAGTGTCCTCAGGCTGATGCTAAATGAGGACCAGCTGGGAGGATGGGATTTGATGCAGCTTTTCTGGAAGAAATAGGAATTGTTCTCTTTGTAACAGTGTTTGGTCTGCTCAGAAACAGACAGGAAAAGGTGCTGCATCTCCCTGCTCCCTCTGGAGAAGCTGGGGGTGATGGAGCAGAGCAGCTGACAGGGAAGAACATCAGCTCAATCCACTGCTGCCTCATTGATTCTTTTGGGAGGTATTTGAGCCTGTTTAGTCTGTTGGAGAAGCCTTAGGAGGTGGTGAAATGGGTTGGGCTGATGCCTCAGGGTTTAGCTTTTATGTTTTTCACATTCTGAGCTGCTTTAGTGTGTGGGGCTGGGCTTCACATCAGGGCATGGTGAGCTCTGTGCACAGAGCAGGGAGACAAAACAATTCCTGCTCCAGCTGGCCACCAAGGACAAATGATCCAAATCTCAGCCCAGGAGCACAAACCCCGTGGGCTGGAGAGAGAAAAACAAGCAGGATGGGAGTGCAGGGGCTGAGCTGGAATTGGACACTGAACTGCAATGTGCACATGGAGCAGAGCTGATCCCAGGGAGAGACCCCGGGAGCGCTCGTGCATTTTGGGGCCATTTGGGTTCATCTTGGGGGCAGCCCTGGCTGGGCTCTTGTGCTGCCCAAGGTGGATCCATGGAGGAGATCCTTGGAATCAATCCCTGCTTTATTCTTTAACTCCATCCAGCCTCTGCTCTAGGGCAGCCTGCACAATGCATCAGTTTCAGGTGACCCAGATGGAACCAAACCCACAATCCCTGGCTTAGGGATCTCAAGGAATCTCCAGGCTTTTTGTAAGGAAAGCCCTCTGGAGACCTGGGATGGAAAAACAGCTCCCACTGTCCCCAAAATGAGCTGGGAACTGGGAGGGTGGATGGAAGAGGGGAGCTGCAAAGACAGAGGAGTCTGGTCATGCTTCATTCCACTGTTTCCACCATTCCTGGGATTTTTTGGGTGATTCCTGCAGGAAGTTTGGGGCCAACAGGGAAAGCAGTGGGAAAAGGGCTGATTTCAGCAGGAATTCCTTGGATGGAGCTGCAGTGGAGCAGGAGAAGCTGTCAGCAAGCTCAGGATGAGGCACCCATTCCCTGTAACCCAACCATGAGGTGCAGACATGGAGCAGCCACTTGGGATGTCCTGGGTTTGGGAGGCTCAGGAGGGAGTGAGTTTGGTTTGTGGGGTATTTTTTTGGTTTTTGGGTTTTTTTTTTAATTTAACAGTGAACCTTTAATTAAGACTCCTTAGAGGGAGTAGAAAGACAAGCTGTGCATAAAAAGATCAGCTCTTAAAAAAATTACTGCAGTGATGCCATTTAGGAGAGAAAATTTGATAGGCAGTCATATTTTTCATGTTTAAGTCCAAAGAAAAAATGCACTGATTTTAGTGGTTTTAGAAGTATTTTCAGATGGATTTTTAGGATATATCAAGCTGTAACTACCAAAGATTTGAAAGCAGATCATGTTGCATTTACTGGACTAAAATTTTGTTCAAACTTTTCTTTCACAAGTTGAAATATTTTATGCTTTTTAGGACTAAGAAAGCAAATCAGGATTAAATCATAGACTGGCTTGGATTGGAAGGAACCTTAAACATCATCCCCCAGTGAATATTGCTTTAATTTCATATACTGTTTAACCAAGCAGGTTTTAAGGTGGGACTTTAATTGAATATTCATTTTCTTTTCGGTTCCTTTTATTTTTCTTCTTTTTTTTTTTCTTACTCTGCACCACAAAGGTTCAGTTTCTAATCTTAGGACTGGCACAGGACTGTTGGCAGGACACCAACGTGCATAAGTGCTCACTGCAGGTGGAGGGCTCCTGGTTTTGGCAGAGCAGCAAACCAGACCATTCCCAGTGCCTGGAAGTCTGGAGCCTTTCCCAGAGCAGACCTTCCCCTCCACAATACCTCAGGGATTTGGAGTTTAGGAATTACCAACATCAGATAATTTGGTTGGATTCAGTGCATCCAAAATTGCACGTGTGCACCTATTTGGAAATCCATTTTTTAGTTATGTCCATGTTTGTGCTGAACTTCCCAGTAACAGCAAGTTTTTAAGGAGGAGGAGGATTAAAAACAGGGCTGGACTCAGTTTCCAACCAGGGTTTTCCAAGAAATATTCTGTTTTATGATTGCAAGATCAGATCTTTACAATGGAAGTGCCATGATGCCAGAAGATTATTTACCTATTCCTGGCAGGAATCCCCAAACACTTTGATTTCAACTGATTCTTGCTATTTTTTTCTGTGTTTTAAACAAAACCTTGTTAAATGGAGAAAATACCAGCCAGCCACAGCTCATCCTGATTGACATTTCCAGCTCCAGCTCTCTGCCTGTTCATATGTGAAAATTTGTGTAGACCCAAATGGAAGAAGAGGCAGAATCACAGTCAAAAATACTGGAAAATGGGTGTTCTGATACTCCTTTCTGCAAGCTGCTGCAGGGCTCTGGTAATCATCTCAGTGCTTCAGGCAGAGGGTTTGTTGTGTGGATTCTCACTCACTAAAATGTGTATCAAACACTGGCACTTCTGGTGCCATTCATATCTATATTCTGTAATGACTCAGGCTCTTGAAAAATCATGCTGAAATTATATGTTCCATAGCTTTAATTTCCTCTTGCTAACAAGGGAATGATTTGCACTCTCTTGTTTGTGCTCCTCCCTGCCACAGCCTGGAAGCATTGCTCAGTTTCCATGCTGAGTTTCACAGGCAAAGCTGGTTTTTTGGGTTTGTTTTTGCTTGTTTTGGGATTGGGTTTTTTGGTTTTTTTTGTTTTGTTTTGTTTTTGTTGGCCAGCTCCCAAGTCTCATGGTTTCTAGTGTTTCTCTAAAATACTTTCTGGGAAGCTGTACCTTTTTATCCTACAGTGTAGGGTTTGGGGCAGATAAGCTTCTCAGAGACTCCATGAACATAGGACCAACATTTGTTTCTTTGTTTGTTGCTATAGTACTACAGGATTAGTCTGTGATATTTAAGAACCATGTTGCACTCTTGCTTTTCCCCAAAAATCCCTCCAGGAAACCTGTTACCAGAAAACTGGGTTTTTAAGCATTGTTTATTTCAAATGTCCCTTACCAAATCCTCTTACCTGAGATGAAGCTTTTTATTTTTTAGCAGCATCATTTCATTCTGATTCCTTGGGAATAATTTCCAGCAGGTGCAGGTGTAGGAAGGGAAGGGGGACAGGAAGCTGCCTCTCCTTTCAGCCAGGCAGAGGGGAGGAGAATGAAAGCCTTGATGAGTTCGAGCCTCTTTTACTGAGGCCCAAAAGCAATTTGAGGATATTTTCTCAGAACCCATCCAGGCTCTCACTGCAGTCTGAGCGCATCCATTTTAGTGGATTTCTCTCTTCCCAGTCCCCTGTGGCTCTCAGGGATAAAGGGAGAAGGGGGTATGAGCTGTTTAGTAGGGTGATGCCAAGGTAAAGGCAGAGATGTGAGTTTGATGCCTCAGGTTTTAGCTTTTATATTTTTCAGATTCTGAGCTGCTTTAGTGTGTGGGGCTGGGCTCCACATCAGGGCATGGTGAGCTCTGTGCACAGAGCAGGGAGACAAAACAATTCCTGCTCCAGCTGGGCACCAAGGACAAATGATCCAAATCTCAGCCCAGGAGCACAAACCCCGTGGGCTGCAGAGAGAAAAACAAGCAGGATGGGAGTGCAGGGGCTGAGCTGGAATTGGACACTGAACTGCAATGTGCACATGGAGCAGAGCTGATCCCAGGGAGAGACCCCGGGAGCGCTCGTGCATTTTGGGACCATTTGGGTTCATCTTGGGGGCAGCCCTGGCTGGGCTCTTGTGCTGCCCAAGGTGGATTCATGGGGGAGATCCTTTAAATAAATCCCTGCTTTGTTCTTTAGCTCTGTCTAGACTCTGTTCTAGGTCAGACTTCACAAGGCATCAAGTTGATTCCAGGTCATTTGTGGCTCAGGCTCCTTCCATCCTCCTTAAATTAAAAAAAAGAGCTGAACCTCTTGATACAAGAGGAATGCTCTTCTGCTCAGTGCTGCAGAAAATGGAGCAGAATCCAGCAAGGGAGATAAATTCCACTGTGCCAGCAGTCACTGGTGTGCCAGTGAAAACCAGGTGTTGCTCACCTCAGAGCCTTCTGTTCAGTACTTCAGGCACAGCTTGAAGTGTTTGAACTGTTGAAGTGTTTCATTTATTGAAGTGTTTATTTCAATTTGATGCCTTGGGCAGTGCAGTGCAGCAGTTTTAGGGTCACCACGTGTCCTGTGTGGTGGCTGCTGGTGGCTCTGGAGGGAGGGATGAGCCTCTGGAGCAGTGACCATCAGCCAGGCAATTGCTGCTGGCTATGGGATTAAACTCATCTTCGCAGCCTGATTTAACAGGAGCGGGTCAGTGTGGGATGGGAATGTTCCTGAACATCAACTGGAGCAGCAGGATGTGGGTACTAAACCCTCTGTCCTCACCCTTGACACAGCTGGTGAAGGGGCTGCAGCAGGAGCTGAACCGGCTCTACTCCCTCTTCTGCTCCCGGAACCCCGAGTTCGAGGAGAAGGGAGGGAAGGTCTCCATCGTGTCCCACTCCCTGGGCTGTGTCATCACCTACGACATCATGACTGGCTGGAATCCAGTCAGGCTCTATGAGCAGCTGCTGCAGAAGGAGGAGGAGGAGCTGGAGGAGAGTTGGATGAGCTACGAGGAGCGGCGTTTGCTCGAGGAACTTTACATAACCAAACAACGGTAATGTCCCACTCCCAGGGGTCAGAGGAGATAACCACAGCCCTGGAGAACACCCTCTGGGTGTTTCCAGAGCCCTCCAGGGCTGTTATCTTCGGTGGCTGGTGTTCTTCTGCTGGGCTGGGTGATAAATGCTAAACACAGCACCGGGAGCTCTGAATCCACACAGGCTCATGGAGCGGTTTGGGTTGGAAGGGACCTTCAAGGTCATCCAGCTCCAACCCCCTGCCATGAGCAGAGACACTTCCCACTATCCCAGGTTGCTCCCAAGTCTCATCCAACCTGGCCTTGGACGCTTCCAGGGCTGGGGATACTGTGGTGCTGTGAGACACCCATTAGAGAATCTAAAATTAGCAACCTCAGTCGTTCAAGTGGGAGATGACAAATCATGAATCACAGGCTTTTGGTTCCTTCCTGAAACCAGTCTGAGTATTGGTGGTACTTGGGAAGCATTAATTTAGCAGCAGCCCTGCTGTGGTTGGAATTAGGATGTGTCTCACTAGGGATGGGTGCAGGATGTCTCTGTCAGCTGCAGGGCTGGACTCAGTGCAGGATTTCTGAGAAAAGGGAAGTTTAGAAACCTAATGAAGTGTTGCAGTGATAGGATGACCCTTCAGGCATGTCACAAACATATAATCAGGGAGAAATGGCCACTTTCACACTCATGCTCCAGCTCCTTAGGCATGCCCTGAAGTGCTTCCACAGAAATCCCAAGTATCATTTATTGATGCTGGCACTTCTGCACAGGATGAGTGGCTGTCCCTTCAGTGAGCAATTCAGTGTGAAATGCTGGAAAATAGACTGCTGACATCCTGTAACCTCTGGAATTCACTGGGACTGGGAACAGTTTTACCCATCCATATGTGTGCTTTACATTGTAGCTGCTTTTTTAAATTCAGGCCAGCTAGAAAAGCAGGTGAACAACCTTTTTTTCATGGGAGTTGAAAGGGTGGGACACCATCCTCCAGAAATTCCACTTTCATACAGAACTCCAGCATGCCCAGACCATTTCCTGTGGCTTTGTTTTTGTTTGGGGGGTTTAGAACAAAATAAAGCAGGTGATTTGGCTGCAAAATCACCAAGGAAACGGGAGGTGAGTCAGCTACTCCTGAGGAAGGAGGGTGGGCAGATGCTTGGGGTGGTGAACAGGGAATTGTCATGTGTTGATTGATTCCTTCTGTGGCCAGAGAAACAGGATTTGACAGACATTGATTCTTAATCAGTTGAGCTGCTCCAGGAAATACTGACACCATCCCTCTCTCTTCCCAGCAAACAAAACTGTTGGACCCCACAGGAATGCCTGTTTGGATCAGAGAGGTTAAAGCTGCATTTTTTATTGGATCTCAGAAAGATCTCTATTTTCTAGGTTGAGAGAGATAGAAGAGAGGTTATATGAGTTAAAGGCATCCACCATATCAAAACCACCTGTCTTAAAATTTAAGGTATGTATGTTCAAGAGGTTTCTACTGAATTTTTTCTGCTTGCTGTAAAAATACACCTGCAGTGTGAGTCATTCTGCTTACTTTTATTTTTTCCCATGTCCCTAGACATGATTTTGGCAGAATAATTTGGATATTGGATGAAGTGTATGTACACATATATGTAAAAATGTTGCTGTATTCATAGTTTATTGTTATTTATTGCAATTCTGTATTTGTAATACTTTTTGAGCAACCTGGTCTGGTAGTGGGAGGTGTCCCTGCCCATGGCAAGGGGTTGGAATGAGCTGAGCTTTAAAAGGTTCCTTCCAACCCCAAACCATTCTGGGATTCTGTTATATGTGTTTATAATGACATTAAATGTAAACATAAATGTAAATATATTGATTTTATATATATATATATAAAATAAATACCTTTACTACATAAACCTAGTTCTTATACACACACACAATTCTGTGGGAAGGCAAAATCCATTTGGCAGTTGACATCAATCACATATTTTAAACAGTTTCACTTCTACTCCATTGAATAATCCATCTTCCTTGGGGACTCCTTCTAACATGTCACATCTCTGAGCAAATCTGATTGAATTTCCTCCAGGAGAGGATTTTCCTTCCAAATTATTCTGCTCTGACAGTTAGCACACTTTCAATCTCATGAAGCAGATTGCTTGCTAATCAGCTTTACAAATTGCTAGAATTCCTTATCTTTGGGAAAAGGCATTTTCCAGCTCCTGGGTGGGATGTGCAACACTTTCGAGTTGCTCAACTCCATCCTGAAGTATTAAACCATAAAAATGTGACATGATAGATGAGAATAAAATGGATTATTGTTTTTTAACTTGCCATTTTTCTTTCCTTATGAGTTCAGAAGGTCTCCTGGAAGCCAAGGTCAATGTTGAGCCTTAAAAAAAGAGGAAACCAGCCATAATTCATGTTGTCACAGCCTTCTCCTTTTCATCACTGCTTGAAAGCATGTGCCAGGCTATTATCTCTCCCATCGAGGAAGCTGGAGTCAGGCTGGTCCTCCCCCAGCTCTGAGAAGGTTTTTCTTCACTCAGTTGGTTTTAAACTGAAAGGTTTTTGGACAGTTGCTTTTTAGATGGAGAGGAGGAAAAAAAGGGGGAAGAAATGTTAGATAGAGAGGATTTTATCTACCTGAATTAATGAGATGGATCTGTAATCTTCAGGCAGCATTTCCACTGCAGTTCATCCTTTTTCTTGCCCTTGCTGACAGGGAGATGTTTTGTTTCTAGTGAAGCTTCACACTGGTGACTCCCATGGCTTGACACAGAGCTCCAGAGGGAGAAGCTTTCCATGGAAAGGATGGCAAGGGAGGATTTCAGCAGAGTGGCTGGAATAGGATTGCTCATCAGTTCAGCTCACTGAGGGTGATTGGTTTGTTGAAGGAGAACAGCCTTGTTCAGAAACCAGCCACCCATCCCTTGGCTCTTCATGGCAGCTCTGCCATGGACTGAAAAAAATCAGGGTTCCCAGGATGGGACAGAGTCACTGGTGCCACGTGAAGGAGAGTTGTGCTTGATGTTGAGCAAGCACAAAGTTGTTTTTGGCAAGATAAATGCAAGAAGAAATAGAGCAGTTTGCTTGGTTCATGCTTAATATTGGAGAAAATGAAATTATTGACTCCACAGGGAGGAAAAACCCCACAAAACATAAACATATGGGGTGTGTTGTACTCTAATAAAATATTGGACAAGCCACCAGAGTGGGAACATGAGGGGAGGGATCTTTTGTTTCTCTTCCTCTGCTTCTCCTCAGACGGGATAATGGAATTACCTGCTGGACCAACAGGAGCAGTGGGAGTTAAAAGCAGAGCCAGCACCCCCTTGTAAATTTAAGATTTAGAATCACAGCCTTCTCCCCACCAGCCTTGGAAGAGGAGCTGGAGTTAAAGGGTGAGGGGCTGAAGAACATGGGGAATGGTGTGACACCACCCCCTTCATGCCTCTGGTGTATGAAAACAGGAAATTCTTTAAAATTTCAGTCATGGTAGGGAAGAGGAGAGCAGGATGTCCCTCAGTTGCTCCTTAGGGCTGACATGGAAATCCATTTAAATCTGGCCTTGCAATGTCCTGGCCCAAAAGACTTCAGGGATCCTCAGCACTTCTCACTCAGCCAAGGCTGCAGAAACTCCTCTGGAGGAAGGTCCAGCCTGAACCTCGTGTTCTTTGTGCCCAGCACAGAAGGGCTCTGCTGCCTCACTTCTGTTGACTCATTCAGCTTTTTTTTTTCCTTCACTTAATTATGAAAATGCTGCAGTGCTAACTTGAATGGATGGCTGCTTGGCTCAGCTTCTGCTTAAAATACAAATAAATTCATTAAGTCTTCTGTTTATGAATCATAACCAGGAGAGGAGTTCTCTCAAAGGTCATTTCATAAACACATCTCCTGTGTTGTTAACATTTACAGGAAAATGCCCCACTCCTGATTGCAGGAGAAGCACCAAAATTAATAAATATTTTCCAGAAAGATTTTGATCTTCTTTTCCCAGTAGGTTTTATAATGCAGCAGCCTCATCTTCAGCCACCTTGGAACAGCACTGGCACTCTAATGGCTGTAGATTAAAGCATTTGGGGTTAAGAATCATAGAATTAAGGTTGGAAAAGACCTGTGTACCACTAAACCATGTCCCCAAGTGCCACATCCATATTAAATCCCTCCAGGGGTGGGGACTGCAGCGCTGTTTATCAATAGAAATGATGGGACAGCAGTGGGACAAAAGCCACACACTTTGTAACCACTGAAACCAGTTAACCTTTTGAGGGTTCTCCCAGTCTCTTCAGAGTGTCCTCTGCTGAGTGCAAGCTGGCAGGCACTGTCTGATTCCTCCCTGAAGCAGAAAAACCATAATTGTGCCTTTCAGGTGCTTGATACAGGAATATCAGATGGACAAGGTTAGAGGTTACTTACTCAAATTAAAGGATTGCGCTGGGAATGTCTCTTTCTGTTGTGTTTGAAGATGAAAAAGCTTTTTGTCCAAGCTGCCAAAACACAAGAAATGTGTAAAACTTGGGCTGAGGAAGGGAAAGGAGCTTTGCACCAAGTGACATTTTTAATGACAGAGCAGTGCTGTGCTGCAGGGGAGATGGAATAACCATGCTGAAGATCTAGTTTTTACTTTTTCCATCAAGTTGGGACTTCTTTTGGAAGGAAGAGGGGTGGTACCAGTGCCAAGACAGAGGAGGAGGAATGTTTTGTGCAGCACTGGAATCCAAGAGATGAAAGGGACCATTATTCCTATGCCCTCTTTCCATGTGCTGACATACAGGGAAGGCACATGGCATTCCAAGGATCCTCCACGTGCATTTAGCAAGACTTCAGCAATTTCTCTTGCTGGCTGAGCATCTGATGATGGTAAAATTAACTCTTCAAGTAAGAAAATAACGGTTGAAAGGCAATTTTGACTTGGGTAAATATCCTTTACCACTGAGTTTTCCATTTGATGGTTTTAGGAGGAGATGCCTGAGGGCTGGTAGTGAGGGGTCAGCATTGAATCCTGACGTCAGGTTGGTTATATTGACCCCAAAATGCAGGTTCAGTGACTTCTCAGATGTGGCAGCTCAGATTTACTCGGTGTTGGAGGCAGGACTTGAGAGGGAGGTCACAGCAGCTTTGGGTGACATTAGTGCGTCCCAGTGGGCTGTGCCTGCTCCTGGGACATGGTGGCATGGAGACAAGCACCATTCTGTTCACTCTCCAAATCATGGAGAACTTGGTTAGGATAAGAACGAGGAGGGCTGGCTGGTTTGGGAAGCTCCAGGAGAAATCAGACTCATTTCACAGAATCACTGGGCTGGAAGAAACCTTCAAGATCATCGAGTCCAACCCAGCCCCAACAGCTCAACCCAACCCTGGCACCCAGTGCCACATCCAGGCTTTGTTTTTCTTTAGTGTCCCCCAAACTCTTCTTGCTCCATCCTTTCCAGTGCTGGTGGACCTCTCTGAGTTCAAATATCCAACTTGATTTTTGGTTTTAGCACCCCAATGAGCAGCCAAGGGCAGTTTAAGCCTCATTTATTGATGTTATGAAAAGCTGGACCAACCAAGACTTTGAATCCCTCCATTGAAACCAAGAAATGGAGAGAGAAATCAAATCCAGTGTTAGGAAACATCATTTCCATCCTTATTAACATGGATGAAATCTCTCCCCAGGTTGAGAATTTCTTCTGTATGGGATCCCCCCTGGCTGTGTTCCTGGCCTTGCGTGGGATCCGTCCCGGCACCAGCGGCAGCCAGGACCACATCCTGCCCAGAACCATTTGTAACCGCCTGTTAAACATTTTCCATCCAACAGATCCAGTGGTGAGTCTTTAATTGCAGTCTCAAGCTTTTTACCTTGCCTGGTTTTAAGCTCTGGGATGATGTGGGATCTTCAAAGTGTGTGAGTCAACACGAGTGTGTTCCAGCAGAGGATTATTTGTTCATGGTTATTATACAATGGCTTGGGGTTTGGAACTGTAGAATTAGATTTCCTACAAATAATTGCTGTAAATAACATATATTTTGCTTCTCTTTTCATAGTAATAAGCATAAGATTTGGGATTATTCTGATTTTTTTTTTTAAAGAAATAATCCTTTTTCAGACAAGGATTTTGTGTTTAACTTCCTGGCTTCCATTAAAACATCTGTCCAAAGATATTTTTGCTGTTAAAAAAGGCTTCACAAACAGTTTACAAGATAATACAGAAAAGCAAAGGCTGATTTTTTTTTTTTTTCCCCAAAGGATCCTACAAGTAAAAGTTTGTTGATAGTATTTGGAGAGGATTATTGGTGTAGCTTTGCCTTTTCCTTATTCCACAGCAGCCAGTGTTGGCTGTTACCAGATCACTTACTGGACCTTTGATCTGCATCCCCTTGGTAACTTCTCTGATGCAAATTGGATCTGGAATTTCATCTACAACAGCAATTTGGGGATACTTTCCTATTTAAAGTAGGTCACATTCAGCTCCAGCTACTCCAGAATTTTCCTGGATTATCAGGGACAATTGGCTCCACTCTGCAAATAGTAACTTCACTTAGTTTTAAAATAAAGAAATGCAGGATGCTTTTCTGCATCTAAGTGGACAAAGATAAATAAATAATCAATAGGAAAATATTTTTTGAATAAACATAACTCATGGTTTGCACAAGGATCAACAAAGAGCCATCAAACAAAATGTTTACATAGCCAGTTCCTGTTTATTGTGTTAGAATCAGCTTAACTTTACATGAAGTTTGTTCTCTCAGTGAAACCATCTGGTAGTAACCTGTGTGTTGGTAACATGTGGTACAAGTGTTGTAATGCAGATGTTGCAGAGATGTGCAAAAGTGAGCTCACAAGCAACTGTGCAGCTGATAAATCTTCCAGGCTGTGAAACTGTGGAAGGAAGGAAATTGATGAATCTGACTCCATGTTCTCAGAAGGCTAATTTATTATTTTATGATACTATATTATATTAAAGAATGCTATACTAAACTATACTAAAGAATGGAGAAAGGATACAGACAGAAGGCTACAAAGATAATAATGAAAACTGGTGACTCCTTCCAGAGTCCCCACACAGCTTTTCCCTGATTGGTCATTAAGTCAAAACAATTCACATGAAACCAATCAAACGTGCACATGTTGCTAAACAATGTCCAAACCACATTCCAAAGCAGCACAACACAGGAGGAGCAAATCAGATAATTATTGTTTTCATTTTTCTCTGAGGCTTCTCAGGAGAGAAATCCCGGCAAAGGGATTTTTCCAGAAAATATGGCAGTGACAGTGAAACTAAAAGTGAATTAAATTACACTGTGATTTAACACCTCTGTGTCACCTCCTAGGCATTGCTTAGGACAGATATTCTGGATTTGAGGTTGGAGGGAGCTCTGGATGGGGAGGAAAACTGATTTTTTTCTTCCCCAGTCTGGGCCTCCCAGCACTGATCTTTCCTCCGAATTCCCTTTTCAGGCCTACAGATTAGAACCCTTAATCCTGAAACACTACAGCAACATCTCACCTGTGCAGATCCACTGGTACAACACGGCCAACCCCCTCCCTTACGAGCACATGAAGCCAAGTTTCCTGAACCCCAGCAAAGAAGCTACCTCAGCCCCGGAGCCCGAGAGCGCCTCGGCGGCGCCCAGCCCCACCACGTCCCCGGTCATGGTGCGGCGCCACTACGGCGAGTCCATCACCAACATTGGCAAAGCCAGCATCCTGGGTAATGCCCCCCGTGTCCCTGGGCAGCACTTTGGGTGCTTGGTGGTTCTTTTTCTGTCTCTGGTGAGGGATTGGAGGGGCTTGGCGCGGTGTTTCGTGTCCAGGATTGGGTGTTTGTTGTTGCTTGTCTGTGGTGGAAGTGGTGAGTTCTGCAGCATTCTGCTGACAAGCTGTGAAATGGCTCACTAGCTTTCTGTATAAGGTATTTTAAGGCTAAACTATCCAATTAGGAAATGACACCTAAATTATTTTCGCTTCTAACCCAATAAATAATCACTCAAAGTCCGCAATGTGGACTTTTTATCCAATTACACAAAACCACCCAAACCCATGGAGAGGAAGGGGAAGAGGAAGGACCAACCTCCACCCTAAAACCTCCATCTTGCTCCATATATATTACTATTCTAAAACCCCAAACTCTAAGTTTTCCACCGTGTGATATCACACACTTCTATTCAAACTCCACACCCACAATCCCAGTTCTGTCATTCCATTTTGGAAGCTTCTCCACAGCCTCAGGTCAATGCAGTGTTCTTTTGGGGGTCAGAGCCTGTCAGCACAGAAACTCTGAAATTCTCAGCATCCAGAACTCCAACAGGTCATGTCCCAACCCTCTGTCCCTGGGTTGGGATGGGGGATCCTTGGGGAGCTTTGCTGCTCCCTGGGGTTGGGATGCAGCTCTGCAGATGGGATGGGAGCTGGGGGCGTTCACCTGGAGAAGAGGGTCCAGGGAGACCTTGGAGCTCCTTCCAGTGCCTCGAGTGGCTCCAGGAGAGCTGGAGAGGGACTGGCAACAAGGGATAGAGGGACAGGACACAGGGAATGGCTCCCACTGCCAGAGGGCAGGGATGGATGGGATAGTGGGAAGGAATTCTCTGTGAGGATGGGGAAGTCCTGAGTTTTTCCAGAGAAGGTGTGGCTTCCCTGGATCCCTGGCAGTGCCCAAGGCCAGGTTGGACAGGGCTTGGAGCAGCCTGGGATGGTGGAAGGTGTCCCTGCCCATGGCAGGGAATTGAAACTGGATGAGCTTTGAGATCCCTTCCAACCCAAATCATTCCCTGGTTCTATTCCTGTCCCTTGCACAAAATCAAGAGTGTGGCTGAGTTTGGAAGTGACCTCTGGAGATCTACTCCAACCCCCAAAATCCCTGCTGGCAGAGGATGGTTTCAGTGGGTTCTGTAGATGTCTAGCTTGGTTTAATCCCAGCTGACATTTACTTAGAAATAAAAACCAGTTTACATGCATTAGAGTCAAAGCTTGGGGGAGATGATTTAGTTTGTGCTATTGCTGCCTTATTTTTGTCTGTCCTATTGAAGTAACATCCCACTGATTTAACAATTTCCACTCTGCTTCATGGGAAAAAAAATAAATTAAAGCTTGTCTTCTGATTCCATTTTCTGGTATTGGCCAACAGCAGAAAAATCACACCATGTAACCCATTACAGTTCCCTTTAACTCATGGTTCTACAATAGGAAATTCAGGCTGATTTAATATAAAGTCTGTTCCTTTCTGGCTTTCTGAGTCAAAATAAGCCCTGGTTTAAGTGAGCTTAAATTCCCTTCACTGGAGCTTATACTTGATCGTGCACTTGCAGTTTTTGTTGACTCAAGGCTTTTCTTTAGCTCTCTGTGTGGGATTTGGGAGAAGCCTCGTGCCAGGAGTCTTCCCAATCAAATAAGAATATAAAAGCAGTTTTTCCTCAAGTAGAAATATGTGGTGTTTCAGAGCAGAGTGGCTTTTTTGGGGGTTGCTGTAGTAACTTTAATGTCTTGTCCATGAGGTGGCAGCAGAGTCGGGATAAAACAGGACAAAACTACTCTTAACTTTTATATCCCTGGGCAACCCAAATAGTCCTTTTAAAAGATGATGTAACATTTTTAAAGGTCTGTTAGGGCAGTAGACCTAAGAGATTAATAAGAGAAATAATAAGAATATAAGAAATAATAAGAATATAGTAATAAGAGAAATAATAAGAGAAATGTCTTAAATGTGCTGTTGGGATTTTTAAGTGCAAAAGGCCACCAACACTGTTAGAAAGCATTTTTGTCTTAGTTTTAGAATTTATGAAAGAGGAATCACAACACATCCTTCAAAGTACCAGATTTCTCTCTGCAGATGTATTTCATGCAGCTTTTTCCCCCCCTAAATACAGCTTCCAAATGACAGATTCTGCTTGTACACGAGACGAGTTTGGGGATAAACAGAGCCCACTGCAGTCAGGTGTTCCCACCCTAGGAAAGCACCAGGAGTGTTTCCCATCCCTCAGCTCTAATTAACGGCTGCTGCAGGGACTTTAATTTGCAGTGATTTTAGTTTGCAGTTTGATTGATGCATCCTGGGTTGTTTTTTCCCTGCGTGCTGGATGCAGGAGCTGCGAGCATCGGGAAGGGCCTCGGTGGGATGCTCTTCTCCAGGTTTGGCCGGTCCAGTGCCACCCCCCAGACCATGGAGACAGGGAAAGATGGACCTGAGGGGGATGAGAAGAAGGCCACCACTGTTGGGACCCCACCTCTGCCACACAGCAGCTCGGGATTCCTCGAACCCACAGGTGAGTGATGCCCACCCTGTGGATCCAGGGAAATGAGTGGGGTGGGGGGCTGGAAATGCCATAACTGCACATGGCAGGGTTTGCTGTTGTGGGTTTGCCATAAATTAATAAATGTTGAATATCCAGGCCAGCTTGGACAGGGCTTGGAGCAGCCTGGGACAGTGGAAGGTCATGGCAGGGGTGGAATGAGATGATTTTTAGGGCTCCTTCCAGTCCAAACCATTCTGGGATTCTGTGAATCTGTTCCTGGGTTGGATTGGAAGATACCTTAAAGCCCATCCCATCCCACCCCTGCCATGGCAGGGACACTTTCCACTGTCCCAGGCTGCTCCAAGCCCTGTCCAGCCAGGCCTTGGACACTTCCAGGGATCCAGGAGCAGCCACAGCTGCTCTAGGCACCCTGTGCCAGGGCCTGCCCACCCTCCCAGCCAGGAATTTCTCCCCAGTATCTAATCCAACCCTGCCCTCTGACAGTTTAAACCCTTTTTTTTCCACCTAAAGTCCAATTCCCCCATATATTTCCCATTCTGGAGCAATCTGGCTTTTAGGACACGTATGACTGGAAACAGAAGCTGCCCTTGTCCTGATCTGAACTGCTCAGGACAGAAAGTGCAGTTTTAGCAGCTGGGTTTTTTGAAAAGCATAGGTACTTCCTCTCAGGAAATTCATCCTTGGATTTATTTCTGAGCTCCCCCTTGGCACTGCTGCAGGACACAAGGGTTTTTTTGAATTGAGGGAGTCACAAGTGTCCTGTGACAGCATTCACATGATGGATTGCTGTCTGTTCATACAAATTGCAACAGATAACCTGTCTGAGTCAGTGTTTGAGGGCAGGAAACTTTGGGTTAGACGTGAGGCAAGCAGCACAGGGAACATCACAGAGCTGCTGAGGGGGTCCTTTCGGGGCTGCTGGCACACTGAGAGCTTCCTGCATGGATCCCACATCCCTCCCTGCTGGAAACCCATGCCTGCTCCATAGAAGGAGAGCGTGGAGCAGAGGCTGGCGGGGCTGGGAGCTGAATGATGCAATCCCCACCGAAGGCTGAGCTCTCAGAGGGCTGTGCTGGGGTTTGGCTCCCGCCCAAGCTCCCGTAACGGCCTCTCGCAGTGCCCTTCCTGCACAGCACAGCCACTGGGGTTTTTTTGGATCAACTCTCCTTCTTGGAAATGACTCTGCTTGTCTGCTGGTGTTCCAAGGCTCTGGCTGCCTGTCCTTGCTGCAAAGTGGGGTGATGCTCCTGGGGAAGCAGGGAGATCGGGGCCGTGTGTGCCGGCGCTGGGGCGATGCTCCCCGTCCGTGCTCCTCCAGCCAGGAATTCAAATTCCTTCAAACTGCCTTTGATAAACGGCTGCATTTTAGACTCAGTCTGGGGCTTTGGCTTTTGTAGCTCAGCAGGCTTTTAGGTTTTTTGTCTTTTTTTTATTTTATTGCTCCTGGTGGAGGTTTTCTGACGGCTGAAGCGCCTTAGCAATAGGTTAACGTTGGCCCAGTTAAAATGCAGTGGTAATTGCTGTGAATGTGGCATTAATCAAAGCAGCCATTGGAATAGGAGGGTATCTGCTGAAATATTCTTGGAATAATCAGGATATTAAAAGGGCAGAGCTGTGGAGGGATGACTTTGCAGGAAGGGCTTGTAGTATTGGGTGTAGACTCCTTGTATAGATACTAAAAATGCAAGAAATCCATTTATTTCCAAAAGCGTCCTAGTGGGGCCTCAGCATTTGCTGGCTTTTTCTCTGTAGTTATCATAACAAGTATAAATAAATATATTTATAGATTTACTATAAGGAAAACAGCTGCTTGAAAAAAAACTGTCCAAGTTGAGAATCACAAAATCATTCAGAAATGACCTCTAAGAGCAGGTTTAATTGCCTTTTTTCTGCCTTTTTTTTTTTTTCACTTAGCACCACTCTTAAGTTTGTGCTAAATGCAGGAGGTGCATTGAAATGTATTTCTATATTATTAAATCTCGATTTAATTGAGTGCCCTGTGCAGTGTAAACACAGAGAGATCACATGTGTTGTCTGTCCAGCATCAGAACCCGAAACACTCTGGGCTTTTTGCAGCTCTGACATCCCTCTCGTTGCTTTCCTTGTTCATTTCCCAGTGGAACTGGAGCACAGGATCGACTTTGAGCTCAGGGAAGGTCTCGTGGAGAGCAGATACTGGTCTGCAGTCACATCCCACACTGCTTACTGGTCATCTCTGGATATTGCCCTTTTCCTCCTCACCTTCATGTACAAGCAAGACCAAGAAGAGACTGACAAATCCAACTTGGACACCATCTGAATCTTGGACTGGGGACAGGAGAGGAAACTTTAAAAACCAATGGCACAAAGCAGGTGTTTGACTGCAGAGCTGCAGGACCTGTGGCATGGAGGTTTCAGGTTTAAGTGCATGTTTGGGGGGTTTTCCTATTTCTAAAGAGGAGAAGTTATTTGTATTTTAAAGCACTTTATAGTTTTCAGTGTTTTGCAGTGCTGAATTAGACCTGAAAGGATTCCAAATTCCTGTCAACGTGGACTGTACAAAGAGCCAAGACAGCATTGTAGCATCCCATGAGCAGTTGTGCTTGGGTGACATCCTTGTTAATGACCATAATTGCTGTTTAGTTCATTAAAATATTTAAAAAAAAATTTAGTGGGTTAAAAAAAAAAAAAAAAACAACAACAACAAAAAAAAAAAAACCAACAACAAACCAAACCTAAATTGATTTCCATTAACAAAAAAGAAAAAAAAAAATTCATGTTCAGTACAAACCTAAACCTGCCATGTGCTGGTGTTTTATGTACCTGTGAATAACAAGCAGTGGTGTCATTTTTCCAGGACTTTATTCAGCTCCACATCCAATTATCCCCACATTGGAAGCCCATTCTGACTGCAGGCTTCTGAGGTCCTATCCTATGTGACACGTTTAGAAACTAATGCTGAACAGAAAAAAAGAAAAAAGAAAAGCATGAGGCAAATATTTGAAATACTGTAATTATAATTTATTATTCTCTCTAATCGTTTCATTTTATTCCAGTGTATAAAACATTACTTTTTTACTGATTTCTTTTGACATAATTTAAGAACCACATTTATTTTCTACAGTGTTAAGACTTTTTCTCAGAAAATACATATCTTTGTACTACTATTCAAATGAATATATGGACACTGTGGCACACTTTAAGTATTTTTTCATTAAAAATAAATATTTGTGGTTTCACACAAATGACATCAGTCACTTTCTTCTCAGAGGTAAGTGCCTTTGCTTTTTCAGGTTCCAAGTGTTTCTCAGGCACATGAGATTGGTTTGCAGAGGACCCAGCTGTCCTTTGTTTACCATAATTAAATCCATACATGTGTGTGTTTGTATAAAAACACATGGATGTGTGTGTTTATGTGCAGGGAAAGAGGCACCATCAAATAAACTTGGTGAGGCCTGAGAATACCAACATTTAGATTAGGTTTGTATCTGAAACTAATTCAGAAGTCAAGAGGGAAGTGTTGGGATGAAAGGGAATATTCTCCAAATAAAACACCAGAGGGTCACGGCTGGGATTTCAGAGCAACGTGGAAGGCTCTGGAGCAGGAGTGTTGGATATTTGCCCTCAGAGCTGCCTCTGCCTGAGCTGTTTGTGATCTGGATGGGAGCTGCAGAGCCTAAACTTCAGTTAAAATAGCAAAATACTGTAAAATAGCAAAAAACCCGGCCTGTGGTGTGGGTGAATTGTTGTGTGAACAGATGTGGCAGCGTCAGCCCAGAACAGTGGCTGGGGCTGTGCAAACCCCAGAGTTCCCTGCCTGGGGGGAGAGGGTGGCTCTTCTCCCAAATTCTATTTATTTGGGCTGCTCCTTCCGTGAAAGAATTGGGATTTTGGATTCTCTGCTGGAGTTAGGGATTTGGGAGTCATTCTGAAGGGGGAAAAACAAAGAAAAAGGGAAGGGAGGAGTGGAGGGGAGTGGGAAAAGGACACAAACAGCACTGCAGTGAGCCAGTATCCAACATTCAGATGCTGGAAATGACCTTGCTTCGGTGTGGATCTGTGAAAAATTCCATCTGGCCTCAGAGAATTAGAGCTCTCCTGCCTGACCTGTTTACCCTGGTGGATGAGCAATCCCAGGAAAGGAAAAATAACCCCCTGAGAGGAGGAAGCCTCTGCTCCAGCAAACAGCCTTGTGTTTACAGGACTGCGCTCTCCAGATAAGTTGTTTAATCAGCTCCTCCTAATGAGGACAGCTTAAACACAAAAAGGAGAATCTCCTTTTGTATTTAGAACGTGCAAAACGTTTCCAAATATGCATGGTTGGTGTTTCAGGGCTTTGAGCTGGGCTGTGGTGCTGCTGCCTTCTCCCTCCTCACCACTGGATCCACCCTGGATCCTTTTTTAAGGGCTGTAAACAAAAGGGGTTAATTCCTGCAATTCTTGTGGTCTGTGGAAACCCTGCTGTAGTCCAGGACATGTTTCAGATTTATGGAATAGCTGTTCCCCTGGCCTCAGAACGTGCTGGTACTTGCTGACTGCTCTCCATATAAGGGAGGAGATCCGAATTTTAGGTGCGTGCCCCTTGGAAAATCGGGGAGAAGGCAGAGCTGAGGAGTAAATCTCATTGCTGGGAGGAGAAAGGATAGTGAGAGCCAATACCTGATCATCCCTTTGTGTTTTTCCTGAGTTGATGGGTGTGTTTATTTGTGATTCTGCCCTAATTAGCAACTTCCTGGACCACCAACTAATCTCCGGAGCTAAATTCCGAATATGAAACACACCTTGAAAGAATCAATGGAGACTCATTCTAAATTGTATGCAGAGATGCTAAACAGCCTTTCATCTTTTTAATCCTGAAAAAACACCCCTCATCCTGCTGCAGAGGTGAAATCCTCTTTGCAAGCAGATGCTGAAGGTGGTGGAAGTGTTGCCCCATTTCTGTTGCGTGGCGAAGCACAGAATTCAAGTAGGGTCACGTCTGCTGCTTCAAACTCTCTGGTCAGATGCTCTGTGTCATAATATAGAGCTGGAATGTCCTGGCTCCCAATTACTGACTTGTTTTCTTCTGCAAGGACGATGTTGAGCTTTCCAAGCTGTGTTGACTGGTGGTTTTTCTTGAGAAACCAAGATAAGGGGAATGTTCCTCACTGCTCTCAGTCCTCTGCCTGATACCGACCTGTTTTCCAAACTCGGCCTTGAGGTCTTTGTCCAACTTGGTTGCTTACAATGGTTTTGTTACAAGGTCATTTTTGCAGATAATGAGCATGAATTGTATTCTTTTTCTTAATTCTGTCCCTTTGCTCCTAATTATTCTGTCCTGGTTCTGCTGCAGCTTCCTCTCCCTTTGCATTCACTCCCTCCCTGCTTCAGTGCCAGAGTTTCTGGAGTCAGACACCCTTTGCTTTATTTCACCATGGACAGTCTGGCTGGCCAGTTTCAATTATTTTTTCTCCTTTCCTAATTAGCATTATCAGGCTGAGCTGAAACATATTTCACATTCCCATACTTGCATTTTGCCTGGTTGCCACCTGTTTTTCCTGGTTTCCTGCTGTCCTGGTGCTCCTTTCCCACATGCTTGGCTCTTGAGCTGACTCTGCTCTACCTGAATCGTTGGGAATTGATTTTTTTTTTTCCCTAAGCTGAGTTCATGAATCACTGTGTCAACTGTTTGCACTGAGTTAGTTAATGCATATTTGTGTGCCCTCTGCCAGGTGAGTTTATTTGGAATTCCTTCTTCCCCGTTTTTCTGTTATTAGCTTGAAGATGAGATTTCTGCTTCCACACATCTTTTTTCTGCTGAATTGGGACTGCAGGTGATTGACCTGTACAGGGTCACCTGCCCAGGCTCTGCCAAACATCTTCAGTCACCATCAGAAAGCTTTTACACACCAAGGCCCAGTTTGATCTGTATTTAATAATAATTTTCCTCCAAAAGAAATCCCCACCATTTCTCTTGGTTTGGCTTTTCCCTCCTTCTTCCACGGGTGGTTTTTGTGCTTTTGTCTCTTCCCCACTGCATTACAACCTGTTCTCGAGTGCTGGGATTTCATTCCTGCTGGATTCCTGCCTGCTGGAATCGCCGTTTGTTTCGTGCTTGTCTGAGCATCCTCAAGACTTCTAGGGGAAATCTTGGAACCTGTTTGACCCCCAAAAGGCACATCCTGCTGTTGTGATCCGCGAGAGTTCTGCTGAAAGCTCAGCAGATCCCATCTGGATGTGTTCAGCTCCCAGGATGGCTCTGCACTGTTCCCTCTGGCTGCTGCTGTCAGCTCAACCCCAGCACTGACAAAGCACTTTCTGTCCTTCTCAATGAATTTTGGCACTTCAGCCAGCACTGGGGCTGGGCTGGGCTCTCCCAAGGCTGATTCCTTGCTCCTCGTGTTTCTCCTGCATCCCTAGGGACCCATTTGACCCCCACTTTGCTATAGAAATCCAAAGTTTTGTGTTTCCCTGCGTGCCTTTGCAGAAGCTCCAAAACTGCCAGCACAGCTCAGAGCGTGTCAACACTTCTCCTCTTCCAAGAGGAGTCCCAAACCAGGGAGAGAAATACCTGGAAACGTTTCAGGTCACCCTGGGGGGGTCAATGCTCTCTGGTGCCGCCGGGAAGCAAATTCCAGCATCAGCCTTTTCCCCTCTCTCCCTCTGCAGCTCTCCAGCAAACCTTGGCCACTCCTTCCCCTTTGGGAGTGAGAATCTCCCTGCAAAAACGAGCTGGAGCCATCTCTGGTGCTTTTGAAATCCTCGATGATTTATCCAAAAAGAGAGGGGTTTCATTTGATGATCCTGCGAGCATCTGCCACGGATTAACTCCTCTCTTTGTTTCCTAAATAAAATACCAGTTCTTGCAGCTACACTGCCCATTCCCTGGGGCCTCACTGATTGTGGGCATGGACAGAGAATCCCAGAATGGTTTGGGAAGGGACCTTAAAGATGGTCTGATTCCAACCCCCATTGGGGCTGACATGGGAGTGGGGAAATCCAAATTTCTCTATCACAGTCAAGCTCCAAGGACCCCACATCCCATTTGTTGTTCATTTTATGGCTCTTCCAGTATCTCCAGAAAGGATCTCATCTCAGACCAGTCCCAGACTGTGCCCTCAAAGGGCAGCTCTGTCTCACCATTTCACTGCTCCATTCTGGTTTTCTGTTCCTGTTCCTCTGCCTGCAAAGCTCAGACTGGCTGGAAACCAAAGCCACGGGAAGAGGGAAAGGAGAGCAACTCTGACCTTGGATCTGGGGTCTCTTTCACCTGCTGGTGTCTCTCACACCTTCCCAAAGCTAAAAACGAGATTGTGCTGCCACCAGAGAATCCCAGAAAGGTTTGGGCTGGAAGGGACCGTAAATCCCATCCCATCCCACCCCCTGCCATGGGCAGGAACACCTTCCACCATCCCAGGCTGCTCCAAGCCCTGTCCAACCTGGCCTTGGACACTTCCAGGGATGCAGGGGCAGCCACAGCTGCTCTGGGCACCCTGCGCCAGGGCCTGCCCCCCCTCCCAGCTGAGGATTTCTCCCCAGTATCTAAACTAAACCTCCTCCTGTGGTTTGGAGCGGGGCTGCCCCAATCCTGCCCTCTGTCACTGTGAGTCCAGCTGGGCAGGAACAGCCCCCCCTGCTCCCAGGACAGGGTTTCCTGTTGGAAATGCAAAATGGCAAAAAACCTCTGAAAGATGAGAAGAGCCAAAACATGCACAGATGTTTTATCTTCCCACCTTTCCATCCCACTCC